AAGAGTAACTGTTAAGTGGGCTGAAGTGTTGTCTTTCTAAAACTAGCTAGTCTCCTTCTCCTGGGGCACTTCTAACTACTACAACTAACTACATTTAAAAGTTATGATGGAGGCAAGGATCTGCAGTTCATTTTCATTGCTTAGGAGAGAGGGAAGATCTGACAAAGTCTGTGCTCCTCGTTCTACAGACTTGACGGAAGATCATGCTACCTGAATGAGAAAAAGCTTTGCTAAAGATGAGGTTTGCAATGCTACGCAATTTTTCTGTGCGATAGGAATTATAGAAATGGACTTCAATTACAGTAAATCAAAAGGACATTCATAGGAAATCAGTATGCCTGTGCTCTGGCATGACTTTAAAGATACTGTAAACTTTGGGGAAAACTCCAACCTTGTAAATAGGCTTAATTTAAGCAACAGGTGTAGGGGAGCACAGTCATGTGTTTTAATGCATTTATTTTATTCAGTCTAAGCAACTCTTGTTCTGTTGTACCTTTGTATCATTTTGCAGCACCTGCACCCCATCTGGATTTTCTTTAATCTGAAAAGAGAGAGAGGGAAGGCAAGGGAGAGGGGAAGTGAGTGAAGCATTATGAAATTAATGTATGGGCAATTGCATTGAAAATGATGTTCATGTTTAGAAGGGTTTTATTAAAAAGAAAGATGCCTACACAAGAATGGATGCAGTACAGTTCAAGGTCTTTCTGGGTTGTTATCTTCCATTGACAGTGGCCTTTATTTGGGGAAAAGTCTAGGGAAGAATTTAGCAGTACTTAAACAGTGGTGTTCTCCAAGACTATTTTCCTGAGTATTTTTGGTTCGGAGATGCCTAAGTCAGACAGTATTGGTGGGGGTTTTAATTTTTTTTTTGTATTTTTTTTTGTATTTGGCAACTATTGATGGACTTATCTTCTGTGAATTTGTCTAGTTGTCTTCTGAATGCCAGTAAACTGTTAGCATCTACAGCATCCTTTATTCAGGAGTTTCACAGCCCAGCATTGTCTGTGTGAAGAAGTACCTGCTTTTGTTTGACTTGAACGTTGTTGTTTCATGCCTATAAATTGTCCTTGTGATGGTTCTCTGGGCCTTTTGCATTTTAACATCCTTCTTAAATGAGGTGTGGGAACCACAAATGCAGAGTTCTCAAGGTGTGGGGAACCACAGATTTATTCTTTCCTAATAGTCCTGTCCCCACTCAGTTGGCTCTGTGACAGCTACTGAGCACTGAGGTGACATTTTTGTGGAACTATCTCTTAATTAGACACATTGCTCGTATTGGCACTTTATTATATGCAGTGTGTTGCACCTGCTTTTTACTATGGTAAATTCTTCAGTGTTTAACAAGAGCTAGCAGAGTGTTTACATTTTGCTACATCTCTGTATATTGCAAGCTTTCTGTGTATGTGTGTTGTTGCCTGACCCAGTGAGATGCTAAGAGCTATGTGTTACATGGTTCATATGCCAAAGTCTTTTATTATGGGAAGAAATAGTTTGCTAATTTGAACCCTTGAGAACTTTTATGTTCTGAACCTAAAGTGAAGACACAGATCTGAACATCCCAAAATCCTAGAAAAAAAATCATTATTCTTCATGGGTTGGGGCTATCTTATTTCAAGTAAATCAAGTGAGGACAGGCTGCTAATATGTTTTGTCCATCATTACTCAGACTCTTTCTCTTGAGATGTTCTACAACCTTGCATACTTTTACTATTGCCTAAGGACAGCAGCTCACTTCCCATAAAACAGAAATTGATGCTGCAAGGTCAGGGTATTTTCTAGAGTGATTTATTCACAAAACACCAATGGAAAGTAGTATTGATTTATTCTTACCAAGCATGGCCTGAGCTACACACCAGCGATTATGCCAGCAGAAATTATAATCAAAACTATCTGTTGTAAAGGCTTATTGTCTCACTTTTTTCCTCTAAAATCTGACTTCCTCTGGTGTTAGCACTGAACAAAAGGCCTGAGGTCAAGCCCCTCATTCCTGGAGCCTCTGAGGGCCTACAACCATTCAGCAGCTGCTTTTATCTAGGGTGTAGCTGCTCCTACCTATGCTTTTTGTCTTCATCTGCATGTGAACTGTTTTGGAGCAGAAACTTCTATTGGGAGTAGCCAGCTGCTTGTAGCTTGGTGCCTGTTGGGATGGCTTGTAAGCCAGCTGCTTTGCTTCGTTTGCCTTGGTGCTGCTTCTCTTTCTTCCTTAAATGCATTCTCCCTTTCACACTTCTGCTGATCTCGTGCTGTGTGTCGTTGTTCCCCCACCCCTCAACAATGTCATAGCTGGGATTGTGATACAGGGTTTTTCATCTGAAGAGGATGCAATAACTGGTAAGGTGGTCATGTATACGAACCCTCCTTGTGTGCAGTTGCTCTACAGTACAAAGGTGTTTGGACAGGCTTGACGAGATATGGGGCTTATTTGAGCTGGCTGGCATAGCCATCTTTTCCAGCCAAAGAGGAATTCTTAATACAATTTGCTTTAATCATGTTAAAAGCTGAATTTAGCTATGCCTGTTCTTTAGGTTAAGACTGATTTGAAGCTGATTTAGTTGAGCTAAGCCCTATGTTGACTTTTTTTGTTTGACATCTTTTAGTTTTAGCTTAAACTTGCTTCTAAACTGAGAGAACAAAAACTGCATAGAGTTGACTAGCTGTTGATAGACTCAACCTTCAAGTCTCAGTGGTTGGCAGGTTACCACGTGTTAGGTAAGTCTGCATGTGATCTCTGTTCATGGGAAAGGCAATGTAACTTGGCTTATGTTAAGCCTCTTTCTATACAGACTCTTACCATCTCTCATGCTGGCCATGGGCTAAGAGTATGCAAATATTATTTCAGCTCAGTTAAGTTACGATAACTTCAATTGCTGTCAGTTGCCGTGTGAGCCCACTGAAATGCCCATGTAGCCTTTGGCTTGGCTTTAAAGTTGATAGCTTTGGCGAAACCAGTCCTGGTTTGTATGCAGACCAGTTCTGAGAACAGATACTCCTTCTAGCTGGGTGTGGCCACTTCAGGTCAGGCTGCTTCTGCTTAAACTTTTATTTGACAAATTTCCTACTCAGTGCTTTTATTTATAAGTTTTTGTGATTTTTAAATCACAAAATTTTGTTCATAGATTTTAACCATTGGGAAGTGCTAATTGCTGTCCTTTATTCTGTTGTAAAGATGCTTGTGATCGTGAATAGAAGGCAATTATAAATGGAAATTACTGTTGTTGTTTTCAAGGAAGCACTTTTCTGGTTGTTTTTTTTTTAAATTACAGTTACTGTTTGAATTATCTCTGCAGCTACTGCATTAAGCTTTTCCACTGATTAGTTACAACTTGATCTGTCCTCTGGCATGAATAAACTGTTACATATAGAAAATACTTTATGTTGTATTATCTTATAAATTATTTCACATCCCTGAAAAAGGAATATGGTTTTACGATGTCACTGTCTAAACGCTGTTGTTATGGTTTCTTTCCTCCTTTTCTTTCATATTTATGATAATCTTTCAAGTCAGGTTGGCAAATAAGTCTGGGGAACAAATTGCTTTTATAGCATGAAAAGGCGTGCTTTAATCCTACTTATCTTGTTTTAGCTACCTTGCTCTAAAGACTTGTGTATTGTGTGATGTTCATAGTTCCATCAATGGATAAGTAGTTTTAATAGGCTCCTGTCTGGAGCAGTTTGAATCAAGCACGTGCTACAGACTTGCAACAAAAAAGGGTTAGAGAGCTCAAGCAATGGATAATGGTATGTTACTTGATACTGAGTTTAGAAACATTGCATCCTTTTATGTTCCATTTTTTCTTGTCCTTTTAAGACGTTTAATCTGTTAGATATTCTGTGCTGCTAAATTGATAATTTCAGATGAACATGATGTGATGTGGAATGCTCCATTGCAGAAAACTTTCAGGGCTAGTTCCCCCCAAAAAAGCAGGCTGCCTGTCTAAAGCAGCAGTAAAATGCTTGGCCTTAACACTTATATCCTCAGAATTCAGATCAAATTACCATTAATCCTAGACATCATTCTTTCTCAGTCATGAAATTCCTGAAGGCCTGTAAATTTCTGTCACTGGTTATTATGCAGTCATTTAATCCTGAACACTAACACATCATCTGGCATTAAAGCTCTACTAAAATGTAAAGTACAGATTTTTTTTTTTTTTAGACATGCATTGGAAAACTTGGAGCATCTACAGGAAGGAGATAGAGCTGTTCAGGTGAGAGAAATGAGAGGTGTAGAGTTAGGTGTTTTTTTTACTCTGTTTAATTTTGAACTTTCACTTTCCAGCTTTGAGTAGCCGCTGAATAGTGTGGCCAGCAGGACTAGGGAAGTGATGGTCCCCCTGTACTTGGCACTGGTGAGGCCGCACCTCGAGTGCTGTGTTCAGTTTTGGGCCCCTCCCTACAACAAAGACATTGAGGTGCTGGAGCGTGTCCAGAGAAGGGCAACGAAGCTGGTGAAGGGTCTGGAGCGCAAGTCTTATGAGGAGCGGTTGAGGGAACCGGGGTTGTTTAGCCTGGAGAAAAGGAGGCTGAGGGGAGACCTTCTTGCTCTCTACAACTACTTGAAAGGAGGTTGTAGCCAGGTGGGTGTTGGTCTCTTCTCCCAAGTAACAAGTGATAAGACAAGAGGAAATGGCCTCAAGTTGCACCAGGGGAGATTTAGATTGGATATTAGGAAAAACTTCTTCACTGAAAGGGTTGTCAAGCATTGGAACAGGCTGCCCAGGGAAGGGGTTGAGTCACCATCCCTGGAGGGATTCAGAAGACACCGAGATGTGGTGCTTAGGGACATGGTTTAGTGGTGGACTTGGCAGTGTTAGGTTAACGGTTGGACTTGATGATCTTAAAGGCCTTTTCCAACCTAAATGATTCTATGATTCTATTCTATGAATCTTCTAAAGTGTATCTCTGAGGTTGAGCTTGTAGAAGTTTCTACAGAATAATCAGATTCTTGCAGCATGAGAGAGTAGGATAGCCTTGTAGTTTGCATATTCAGTGTCAGTGCTTGCTTCAGTTAGTTATGATACTTCTCAGTGAGACAAATGGAAGAGGCCCAACTCTGTGTGTTTCCCACAGCCACCCCAGCAGCTGTTTAGTGGGCCATGCAAAAGATAGTCTAGATAGAATGTCCTTGCAATGTGTTAAATGAGCGCTCACAGAGAGACCAGGAAGACCTGATGTCATGCAAGAGTGACTTTCTTCCTTTAAAAGAAAATTATACAGAAGAGCAACTATTTTAAAACCAATTGGAAAAAAAATCCTACTCTAGTTATAAAGGAGGTAGTAATTAGAGTTAATTTGAGGAGAGCAGAACACCAATCTCATCAGTAAAGCAAATGCTGAAAAATGCTGAATATTTTTATGGTGGCACCTGCTAAGAGAATGAAATTAGACTTTTTTTTTAAAGTGTGAGACCTTGCTGAGGATAACAAGAATAGCGCGTGACTCCAAAAACATAACCTTGCATTACAAGCCAGAATGTGCTTTAAGCGAAGTCTGCTTTGCTTATCAGATTTAAGAAACACAACGTA